AGAAAAATGTATGAAATCCCGCCGACTAATTCTTAAAACCTCAGGCTTTAAAGATTGAACTAAACTAAGCTTAACTAAAGAATGAATGCTATGATGTGTACATTGTCCATATAAATATAAATAACATGTATTCAGCATAGTTTCATATTCCAAAAATGAAAAAAATTGAAAAACCTTAGAGGTAATAACAATAACAAATAGTTAAATATAGCATAAACAACAGTGCGCTAGAGTCGAGTGTTTGGAGATTCGACTACGCAAGGTACAAGGTCTTCTAATACGAATGAGAGAATGAAGGTAATTTAATTATTACTTTCTAAACACTAAATGGAATGCTTTCTAAATACTGAATAGCATTAGCATTTAACTGCGTCTACAGTATTTACGTCTGCTTATCCCAATATCGAAAATCAGTATCTGTCGTTGCTTACTTTGGCTATCTTGAAAGAAAGAGTATACGTAAATGCGAAGATTAATACATTTTGTCTACCTGCAGGTCTGTTTTTTTGTTGTGATTAATCTCGCTTGTTTAGTATCAGAACAAGCACACGAAATTCACCGTGGCAAGGAAGCAAGATTGTGCCTTCTTTGCCAAGAGCTTTGCAGATGACTTTGTTCAGTTCATCCCTCAGTTTTGGAGGAGGGAACGCCGGGGGGACAAGTCCGAGGGTCTCATACCCTTCTTTCCCTACCACTAACTTTTTGAAAGAACTTTCAGGTCGCCGCGTATTTAAAATGCTCCCATGCCGCACAGACACTATACGTTTATAAATATTCATGCTTTCTCAGGTCCTTTGGTACAGCAGTCAGAGTCACTAACCACTATTCCGGTTGGGTGGCGCCTACAGGTCTAGGCAGGTTATCAGAACATCAGAAAAAGTGATCTAAACTCCTTATTCAAGTCGTAAATTCTGTAATCCGTATGTAAAAAACATGTTTTCGTTTTTCATTTCTTTCCCGTAAAAGCGAAAATGCTCTTAGAATTTCTTTCATTAACTGTAAAAGCGAAACTGGTGCTGGCGAAGATATCGACAGTCAGAGAACAAAAAAATTCCTTTGGAATGAATGCTCTGTAAATTATTCAGTGTCTCAGGCACTAAATAATTAAATTATTAATTTTCATTTCAAAGTGTAAAATAAGTTTTACTATTGGGTCACAAGTCTGGAAGTTAATGAATCTATCAGAAGATTTATGAAAGTCCTGCTAAAAAGAATACATTCGTATGATCTTAAAAGTAGCTTGATCGTATTCTGTTTTCAGAGCTAAAATATATGCTAAAGCAAATGCGAAACCTATGATAGAAGAAATTAAATATTGAAGATATACTTTTACAGGGATAAGAATTAAGAATGGAAGTCCCGCAGCATTCAAGGGCTGTGTGATCATGAGCCTTCCATGAATTGTGAGTGATTTGAAAGAGAATGGTAAAACTGAGGAATAAACGTGGATGCATGACTGGAGACAAACTAGGGAAACGGCATTAGGCTGTAGTGGATACAGAGAACGTCTGCTGACTAACTGCGTCTAAACCGATTAAGAGATTACTTAACATTATTGAAACTTAAAGAACATTTTCAGATTGCCTATTAATTACCAATACTTTAGTTGGTAATCCCATAGATAGAAAGATACTTACATCAATTACCGAATGGTTAAGTTACGACGCTCGTAGTTCAATTAGGATATCATTCATATAACAGCGAGCGCTGTGGTCAATGAGTTTTCGTCAATTTTGCGCTGTGAAACCGAATTGCGAACGATTTCCCCCAGAAAATCGTCCCCAAAGGCATCTATTCCCCTAAATAGATATCTTGTAGAGACATTAGGTCTTTTTTGGAAACAAGAGAGATTGAAAAATTAGCATCGTCTTCGACGGGAATCGAACCGCGGACCTTTGAAATACGCGACCAGCGTGCAGAATACCACACCATGAAGGCATGCCAAGAAGGCGGGAGAAATACCTTATAATCTCTCTGCTACTTTTCCATAATTCTTACTACCTCGGCTGCTATTCCATAAACAGGCATGTATGTTAGATCATATATTCAGTTTGCTTTTTCCATATACGCGCTTTTTATTTTTCCTTTTAAAATAGTGCATTTCGTTCAGCATTCTGTCGTATATTAAACTGCAGTGACTTCTGATTATTACTAGCCTTCTTTTAATAGTGTTTTCATTTCATATTTGTTTGGGGATTACACAGTATCATGTTTCAAAGATAATGTATATGGTGTTGTCAAAAGCAGTAATAAGAATTTTGGTTTCAGAGAGTGACATCACCACAAAAACTGTGGGTGAATAAAATCTGCGAACTAAAATCTGAGGTGCCATAAAAGAAATCACAACAGTGAAAAATCGCTGCTCTTGAAACATTCAGCGTCAAATTAACCACCGTGCAATTTATTATCTAATTACGCACAGTGAGAAGTGTGGGTTGTGAAGCAAATACGAAATATGATGTGGGTAGAACTACGTCAACAGTGTTCTTAAAAAAGAGGTTACCCCGGGAACTAACCTTGTCTAATCCACAAATGAAGGCACATTAATTTAGGCAGAATGTTCACTTCAGAGTATTTTCAATGTGATTCGAGATCTTTTTTTAAAGTCCACATGTTTTGAGTTCATACTTGTTTGACCTTTATATGTAGAGAGTTCGTCGTTATTATTAATATTATTATGAATATTAATTTAAGTATTAAAGAAACTTATTTCGAGCAACTGAAGAAATGTTCATAATTGCCTATTTCGTTTTACTCCATAAATAATGAACAATTTACTTTCGGTTAAAAATATTTGGTAAAACGTTTGAACTGAGATTTTCAAAACTTTGATTTGGAAGAGAAATTTCCGTGAGCTCACCGTACATTTCTAATAGAATATATCATAAAACGCATTAATTAATACTATAAATCCTACATTATTTTGAATTCTACTTTAGTTGTTGAATGTTTGTAGCTTCGTTATAAATTCATTTGTATCTGTGAAAATAAGGTATTAAAAAAACACCTATACAAAGTGTTTACAGCAAAGCGAAGTTAAAATATCAGAAATTTAAACCAGAAATTTTATAATCTGTTAACAGAATGGTGTATGCCGAATATATGCAGGTTCCTATGAGAATGTTAAAGAAAGAGTCAAAAGAAAATGGGAGCATTGTGGAAGGGAGATGAATGATAGAAATTAATTTTAGTGTTGTATATTTATTAAGCTGCTTACAGTAAGATTCTAAGTTATGTACTTTTTCTCGATTCTTTAGACTTTTCTTCTGTTAATTTACCGGCTTCTGATGAGGAACGTCCTAAATGAAACAAGCTCAGATTTAATGTTGACAACGTTTCACTTTTGCTCCTTTTATGATTAAGATTTTTATAGATTCTTTGTAGAGAATGTCTCACAAAAAGTCGATGCACTCTGTAGTCCTAACACGTTTTGGTGATTATATTTACCCAGAAAATAATATAAAATGAAAAAGTATACCTTTTTAACATTAAGTCGAAGTGCCTTAGCCGGCATACTTTAGATTATGCCATCATGATTTAGAACAGCATATGGCAGCACATCAACAGATGATTATATGGGAATTTTTCAAAATCATTTGAAAGATTCCCTTTTAGTACAATAGTTTGCATCCGTTTTTCATAAATAAAAATTAGCTGTTGGGAGGTTGAGATAGTCAGAAGCCTTTGCCTATAAACCTTTCTTTAGATATATTCTCTAATAGAGCGTGTAATGTAATTTTACGAATGTACGGTCATTCGTAAAAGAAGTAACCACTCTCTCTCAGATTTTAACAATCATATGCAGAAGACTTCGAAATAGAGATGGACAGAGCCGTTCTTTTATGGTGTCGAATCAAATCATTCGCTCTCTGAAATGAATCAGTTCGCTTTTCACTGCTCACTAGCAATAATCTTGATGAAAATAATCCGGAACGATGGGTAAATCAAGAGCAGTTTTCGGGAATGTAGCGAAGAGAGGAAATATCGAACGAACAGTGGGCTGAGACCGGTTAACGAGATTGGAGCGAAGAGAGAAAAGAATCGAACGAACCGCGGGATCGGAAAAATTCGACTGAATCAAACGTTAGCTCCCTGAATTGATTTTCTTTCTTCTGCAGTTTTGAGACTCCCTAAAACATCCTTTCTGCACAGAACTAACAATAAAATTCTAGAATAAAAATATTTCAAAAAGTTGGGAAATGATAAAAATTAAACACACTTTTCATATGGGAGTATAATTATTCTTTTCTCTCCTAAAATGAGAACCAAACTTTTCTGGCACGCATCCTACAAAAGCTCCGCTCTTTTTTTTACGAATCAGACAACAGATATCTATTCTTGGCACACTTCCAGCAAGAGCTGTCTGGGAATTGTAAAAGAGCTACCACTCTTTCTGGAATCGGAGTAAATTCGCCGAGTAAAGGAAATCGGTTCTTTGAATCATTTCCCGAACGGATCGTCCAACTTTGCTTCGAAAACACAAAAGTAAATATTTTAAGAAATTTTACATTGTTTATTGTTTTCAATTTTTAATTCAATAAGCACCTCGAAGTATTTTACATGGACTAAGCTGAATTTATTGTCAATACTAAAATTATAACGTAAGATTATAAATTTTTATCATAAGCAAATTATTTGAGCAAAAAGAAAAAGTGCAAAACAGAAAATTTATTAAAATAAAGGGAATTTATTTTGACACCGGCAAAAATACAGCGTAGGATTTATTTTAAGTAAGTAATATATATTTTTTGGCTGATGATTTTGCTCTTCGTCTTACAGACATTCCAACTATCGATGCACTATCAAAAATAAATTTTAGGAAACCACAGTTTTGAAGTTCTTGCACAATGTTATAAAAGGGAGTACTAGTTAAACTTTTACATGTCTAGCTTATTCCTGTTTTACAAAGCAGAATTTAAACTTATATAGGATTTCATTAAGTTATTATTTCAACTCATTACTTATCTGCTTATTTGAGTCTATCCTTCTTTTCACTGTAGGTCAATTTGGACAAGGTGTTAAACTTAGAAAAGAGAGACCAGCAAATTTTGTATACGAGGAACATCGCGGATGATGAAGGTGGCAAGGCTATCCAGCAGTCAAATTCTTTTGATTTCAGTCATCAGAACATTTACTTTCTTACGGGAAATAAGGTGAGCAATTTTATGACTCTCAGTTTCCGCGCACATGTATTCAATGCAATTAAAGGCTTCATATTTCATTGAAAAGTTTCAGAATTTATAATGTTTCTTCTGTTGTACATGATTCAATAATTTGTTGCTTTTAAATGCATTTGCTCATTGCTAGAAATAGAAACCATTAATCATAATCATTGAGACAGCAATGCAGAATTATTTTTGAAAAAAAAAATGTAATACAGAGCGTCTCGTAAACCGTGTATTATAGGGATTAATATACAGTTTTCAGAACACTAAAAAGCTTTTAGAGGGAAAAGATAATAAGTTCTGGTATCTGATATTATTTGACCTAGAAGATCACATGAAAAGTTACTTAAAAGACCTTAGAGAAAGAAATTCTAAGGTCTGTTACGCTCGTCATAAAACTCCTTGTCATCATCATATTTACGTTGCTGGAATGGCAGCATCAGGATCTTTATGACTTTAACACAAGTCTGATTTTGAAAAGATTGCATAAAATATCTCAGGAATGTCCAACCTGAGGGAAATTCACGAAATTTGTGAAGTGCGGCTCAAACAATTGTGCAAAATATCATAAAAAATTTGAACTTATAAAAGAGTTTTTTCTCTTCAGTAAACAAAAACTGCGAATCTCGTTTTTCGAAAAGGAAACGAAGCCTGCAACGTTAATTACGATGTGCAAATGCAAGTATTGAGATCGACTTGAAACAAACTAATTGAAAGAAGAGACAAACAAACATTGCACTGATTATAGTAAATATAATATAATTTAATTGTTTTATTGATTATTAATTATTATTATTATTATTATTATTATTATTATTATTAGCCCAAAGGGGTGTTAGCTCGCTGGAATAAAATGCATTTCCAAGGCAGCCCACAAAGTCTTTTGGGTTAACCAGGTCTGAAATATGCTATGATACTGGAGTAGAAAACCCTACAAAGAGTGTTCCATCAAGACCGACCAAACTCTACGCAGCCAGTTACCTAGCTTGAAATGTATACAAATGGACCAAAAAACTTTATCTGAATGACCCATAGTTATCGAGATAAATGCGGAAGAAATATATGACGTCATATCCGTCACATCGCCTATAGTTCGAGCATGATTGATCAGCGCATTTCAGCTCTCTTGTACGTGATTGGCAGGATATGGAATATCCAGGTCGCTGGTTTTGACGTGAGGGTTCGGTTTTACGGCCGCCACGATCGCCAGATCTGATATCATTTTATTTTTTTCTTATGAAGCCATCCATAGGAATTGGTCTATTGATATGTAGTTACTACAGATAGTGATTTAGTTGCTTGTTTTCATGCTGTGTGTACCTTGGTGGACATCATGTTGCTATAACGTGTGCAGTTAGCTATTTCACGGCGTGCGCATGCATGATTCGATATGCGCGGCGGACATTTTGAACAACATTCTATGTAAGTAAGCGTATGCAAATACTGATTTTTTGCACCGGATATGACGTTACATTTTCTTCCTTCATTTTTTTCGAAAAAGATCATAGAGGTAGGGTTCTTTAGGTATTTTTTATGCATTCCAAGCGAGGTATCTGATTGTGCAGAGTTTGGGCCGTCTTGATGGGACACACCGTATATCATTTATGCTAATATTCTCATATTGCCTTCGCATCAGCAATTTGGTATAAGAAGGGGCATAGATTATGAATATTATGAATTTCAAATTATGCATCTGTTCTTTTCCCTATTTTCTCTGCAGGTGGTGAAATATCCAATCGGTTCTTGTTCCGTGTATACGGATTGTGGAACATGTCTGAGTACTACCGATCCTCTGGAATGTGGTTGGTGTGGAGGGTATTGTGCGCATTATGAGGAATGTGAGACACCCAGTTCTTTGACGAAAAATGTCTGTTTTCCTGTCATTTATGAGGTAAGGAAGCGGTTATTTCTTTCTTATTGCTTGCGTAGCGCGAATATCTATAGGTACTTCCGAAAAGTGTTATGAAGTTTTTGCATGTTCGACTCGACATTAGGTCCTGAATATCATTCAATAGGGGTGAACCCATACAATAATACTTTTATCCTTATTAAATATTTTCGAAATCAGGATATGCTTTAAAAGCAAATGTTAGATGTACGAAATCCTGCTTTACCCACCAAAGAGAATGAATAAAGTAATGAGTTGTAATATTTTTCCATTAGTAATGTATCATTATTTGTTAGTTCCCCCCCCCTAGTTTTTAATTCATAGGTAAAACAAAGGAGCCAAATTCTAAAGCTAGAACAGTCGTGGGTTCGAAGAGGATTTGTTCGACCTTTCGCTAAACACTGTAGCAAAAACCTTAGAATAAACATCAGCTACTGTACGTCTGGTCATGTGACCCTACAGCCCTGAGAATTAGGTCTAAGAGGGTTTATCTAAGAGTTATGAAGCTAATAGAAATATGTCTTTATGTATATATGTGATATTTTGCTTTAAGACGACTTCAGGAGAGAAGGCATCAGTTATGCTTTAGTCATGCCCGAGATGGTTATAAATATTGCTGGTTTACAAATACGATGCATAATAGATGGAGGGAATTTGAAAAACCACAAATAGCTGGATGCTCACCACATAACTTACTTCTTGATAAATAATCTCTTAGAACATATGTTCTTAGTTTACACATCCATAGTGATGTGACAAGCATCCCCTATTTTATCCATACAACTTACCACATTTCGAGATAGTAGGCAACACAGCGAAGAATCAGACACGCGTTAGCAGGGCAAGAGCGAATAGAAATGTGACTGTGCATTTCAGGGTTATATGTAAACAGGGCTTAATTTCTAAAATTAGAGGGTCCGGAGCCCTATGGAAGACCGTCAGCAAAGAGGAACTAAAACAAATAAATAAATAAAATGACTATTAAAATCATTATTAATTTAAAAATTAAATAGGTAATTATTACGAAAGTAATTATTATTTAATTAATTTTAATAATTAGTATTTCTCAATTATTAATTAATTAATGGTTATATTTAATTAAATAAAATTAATTAATTATTATTATTATTAAAATAGTTAATAATTAAAGATAAACGAATTAAATAATTAAATTAAAATTAATAAAATGTAAAGAGATAAATTAAAATTTAATAGCGATTTGTAATATAATTTTATTGCAAAAAATAAAATTTTTGAGATCAAATTTCATCTGAAATTGTTGTTCAGTTACAAAAAAGAAGCGCCGGCGAGAATTATGATTTATCCCAAAAACTAAGAAATACCGGTGCCGACCTCCGGTGGGCTCCGGCGCAATTTAAGCTCTGTATGTAAAGATTATATATAGAGTTAAAATCCTTTGTTTAAGTTTAGAACCGCTATTGAACAAGAGCTGTATGTACGGCATTGGAGATGACTTAGTGCGAATTAGTTTTTCAACTGGCGCAGTTTAGATTCCAGGAAGGGGATGTAGTCAAATTAAAGTTAATAATTCCGAGTTTCATATTTTTTAAATCTTATATATATTACATATGATAATGATTTGAGTACTAAAATACGCACATTTCTGTTACTAAAGTAAACAGAAAAGTCGATGTTGTGACTTATCTTACTTGTCTGACAAAACATCAGAACAAACCTACGAAATCCATCGTGGTAAGGACTAAAAGATTGCGCCTGTCATTGGCCTTAACCTTTGAGCACCATACAAGTGACGGTACGACTTAGCTGAGTTTCCGCTACCCCAATTTTGATGAAGAGCACCTTGGGTGGGGTAGGGTCCGAGATTTCCTGCCCTCTTTCCCCACCATCAGCCTCTCGAGAAGACTGTCGGCTCATCGCAATATTGTGCCCATGCCGCACAAACACTAGACATTTACAAACATTCATGCTTTCTCCAGTATTCGAAACTAGGGCTTTCGGTACGGTAGCCACGTCGCGGTGGCAGAAAAGTCAAATCAGGTGCATTAAACTTATTAGGATTTAGAATTAAACAGTATTAGGATTTAGCTTTTACTGGTTAGCGACTTATTTCTAAAAGAAATGTGGGAAGTGACCATCTGGATACTTTGTGTTGTAGCGCAAAGAGAGTTAAAGTATATTTTATCCTTGCAATTAGCCATAACAGCAACCTTGCGTTTGGCGAAGAGGGTCTTTTACCTGTTGCGCCCTCGAAATCGACAGAGTTTCAACTAAAATCTACGCCAAACACAAGGATGCTGTTTTGCTTTATTTTAAATTTTACTTCAGCATGTTTCTCTTTTCTCTTCATTCTTTATACATGTGGCAAATGGCGTTTGAGCAAAGAACCTTGGGTTTTTGTGATTGGAAGAGAAGAGATTATTCTTATTGTTCCAGCTAACTTATCCGTAGATTAGATTTCTCATTTCTGATCAGAGTCGTAGCTAGGGTTTTCAGCGCCCAGGGACAACTGAAGATTTCGCGCCCCCTTCTGCTTGCCAAGGATGGAAAACATTTAATTCTAAAATGTCGTAGCATCAGTTTGGCGCCCCTTTAATTCTGCGCCCGGGGACAGATGCCCCCTCTTGCCCTCCTCTAGCTACGCCCCTGTTTCTGATCCCAAAGTTGTCGCTTATTACCATGGTTTGAATAAATGTTTTTGGACAATTTAAGCTATCCAAAGTTTCGAGACTACTAGTCTATCTGGGAGACCAAAAGAGACATTCTCCTAGTGCATCCAAGAATAACAGGGAGACGTTTCGGTGGATATTCCTTCGAGTGTGACTGCATACTAATTTTTTACATATCAGATAGAACTTCTCTGCGACTGGGGTTTTTAGGGGACCCAATCGCCAAATCCTGGACGAGAAGAATCAGCATCCAACATCTTTTTAGTTCGGGCGCTACTGTAGAGACATAAGGTATATTTTGACGCAGGCAAGATGAAAAATGAGCAATCGCCTTCGCCGGGAATCGAACCACGGACCTCTCGAATACCGGCCCAGCGTGCAGAACCATTACACCGCGAAGACGCGCTAGGAAGACGGGAGAAATATCTTATAACTTAGTATATTTATTAAATATAATAGTAGTACCTTTACACAATAAACTATTTTTAATATTATGCATTATTTGTGAAGCAGAAATTTTATATACGGGGAAAAAAACAAGCAGGGGAATACCTATAGACAGGTAATTGCATGAACTTAAAAGAAGTTGCTTAGAGACGGTAGCAACTCTGGAATCAGCTTTGCTCGTTTGAAGTGCTCTAAAATAAGAAATGTTTCCTGTAATTTTTAATTTCATTGGTTAGCGTGACTCATTCATCTAGTACCTACCCGAAGCAAGGTCAGACGCGCGTTCACCATCACATTTTAAATGATTAGCCAGAAGGAGGAAAAAAAATAGATGAATCATTCTAATTCATCATTTTCTCTCCACTGCAACCCAATATGAAAAGCATTAACGGGAATTTGTGATAGCTTTTCTGACTCGTAACTTTTCATGCCATTTGATGTAAGGGATTTATGAACCGCCTTTTTTTCCGTTTTAACCAGTTTATTTTGCCATGTTTTCGGTTCATAATTGATGGGATAAGAGTAATAAATTTTTGTGTGTGCATCGTCGAGAGTTTTAAACACTTCCGTTATAAATAATAGATCTCGCTTTAAGTGTCCTTTGAATGTAAGAATTTAAGCCTCCGGATAATGGTGTTTAAAAATTTATCGTTAAACGTTTTTAAATATAATTGATAAAATATCTAATCATTGCAAATGCCCTAATCTTGTGTACTGTATAACGTTTTGGTTTGTGGCATTTGCCGAGGTTGTTTAAAAGGCGAGAAACAGTGAAAAGGTGTTCAAACATGGATGGCAAATAGCCTTGATATGCGAAAATTAAATATAATAAACGCACTTTTTATTTCCTTGATAATCTTTATATAAATATAATTGTAAAGGAATGATTTTTTTCTTCTTAATCGTCACCACTACCGACATCAAAATAAAACCAAGACGGAATAAGTTAAGTGTGTTTTGAAAGCTGTAAAAGTATTTTCTGTTAATAACGTAATGTTGGCTAATAACGTAACATTTTTGGATTTTATCTATATTATTAAAATATTCTTTTAGTATTCTGTTTTATAAAGGAATTATAAATCGGTGCCTTTTATTTTTTGCTTATATCACTGTTGTTATTCTGTAGTATGTTTGGATATAAAACATTTTAATTGTTTAACGTGTTTTGCATCATTATAAGCTACGAAATAAAATTCTTATACAATTTGAAGCGTTATAATCCTTTATTTAATTTTCTGAGCAACCAACAGATACTGGTAAGAAGTTGCTGTTATTCTCATCTGTGTCATCATATACATTCGTAAGTTTCACTTAGCATTGGATTGTTTTTATGACCGGCTGTTAGATTTGTTTTGCTTATAAACAATGACATCTCAGAATACCTTATTTTATTTATAATACTAATTATTAGAATTATTGCTGCTGCTTATTAAATTTTTAGCGTGAAAAAGTCAAATAAAATAATGTACTTGTCATGAAAAAGAAATAAAATAATGCACACACTTAAATAATATACTCATGCAACAGAAAGTCTGAGCTCGAACAGCTGTGTAGTAAAAGCAGCTTAATGTGATCATGCATGTTACCATTCGTATACTTGTATCGAATTGCCGAATTCCCGGCCATTTAGATGCGAAAGCATGCAAAATGCGTTCCTTATTGTGATTAAGAAGTCGGGTAAATGTTTATCAAAGTATTATAAAGTAAATATTTTAATCTGAAGTAAAGTCGGCAAATGAGGTCAAATAACAGAGTACAAAAACTGGCAGATGACAGAACTATATTACAAAGTAAGGAATTATATCGCCAGGCAGCTCGATTTTGATTTAAGGCAACCATGCACAAAGGGATCAAGACTACCTGGACTAAAATGATTAATGAAGTGGAATTCTAGATGACCTTTTTTTTTTTTTCGTGCCAAAATGTTTCTTCTCTTGTTTTAATTGGTATATTTTTACGAATATTCTCTTTAGCAAACACTTATTATTTTATTCTATTCAGTTATTTTTTATTATGCTGTGTAACAAAAGGCTTAATGATTTGAGTCTAAGGGATAAAGCCGACATGTTAATTGCTATGACCAATCTCATTTACAGACAGTGTACTATTAATGACTTTTTCCTAATTAAAAACGCTGTGAAATAATTATTGATATATTTTTAGTCATATTTATGTTAAATTAATTTAATTCTATTGATATTTTGAAAGATAATTTTTTCATCGGTTAACATTATCATTCAGTTTATGTTATGAAAGTCGTCAAGGAGAAATGCGATCTCACTAAGTGGCGCTTGCTGGAATATCAGATATATATGGGGACGAAAAAATTCAATATTATAAAATTTAATTGATATATATAAAAAATATCGGCGGTAATGTTCTTGAAAAATTTATTTTTAATAGTTAGAATTTTTTCCGTTTCAATGACTGTTTGTTTTAATTTATTTGAAAAAAAAAATCACCTCCGAGATTTTCAAATAAGTGCCCTTGAATAATTTGGTTATTTTTACTTACTCCAATAGAAAAGCGAAAATTAAGACTATAGCAGCATTTAGAGTTACTAAGGGCCGTAAAAAGAGAGATGGTGTTACGATGTCCGTCATTTACAGATCGTGATAATTGCTTAAAACAGAATGCTAAATTTCATATCGCCCTCATTCATTCTTTCCTATATAACTTCTGTTAGAGCCCGGTGCATTAAAGTTATACAGATTATTAACACTGAATAATTAATACAGTTATTGTAAAGCCTGGCGACCATCTTCTATACGAATGATCATTTTTGAAAGTGGCTGGACTTTTAGAACATACTGGATACAAATGAACATCAATATTGAACATTTTTTCAAGGCAAGCGCCTCCACCTTAAGACCAAAGCCGTCTGAAATCTTCGGGGGGCGTCTTAATGAAGTTTCACTTCACATATAGTTGACATGAGTAAACTTTGTAAATAATCTTTAGCAACTGAGATCAGATAAGAAAATCCAGTAACACTTGCAAAGCGAGCAGATACAGTAAAATATATTTAGTATAGTTAGTTGTAAAGTTAGTTGAGCAAAGTAATTCCGTTAGAGCCATGATAGCAAGCCAAAGAAGTCACTGGGATAGGGCTGCACAGTTACAAAACCACGGTTTAACATCAAGAAGGTTTCTGCTTTAAGTGATGTTGGAAGGTCACTTTTGCTCCCTAGAGTCGGCACTCCTTAGAGTCGCATGACGCGTTCAAAACATTTTCGAGCAACAACTCTGTAGAACAATTTGTCTGCTTTGTCACACGATATGAAACGGCCAATCACCGCGGATCATTTTGGGGTTATCATGTAAAGGAGAAACTAATTCTCCAATACAAACGATGGTTGATGACTAGGAAATCAATGCTTATAATTGATTGGTTGTTGAAAACAAACAACTTATAAATTGTTGCGAAAGAAAGGAAAAAATCGTGCGTCTTTCTTTGAATGATAAAGCAGGTAGAAAAATGGCCTGAAACAATTGTTCGTCTGAAATAAATGGATGTGTGAAACCAGCCTTAAGCGGAAGCTGAGTGAGCCTTTCAAATCCAAATTACCGTCTACACTGACTACCAATAAGTATTTGGATACCTGTGATAGAAAAGAAAAACTAACTTTATTCAAAATCAATAGTTGGTAGAGCCTCCATGAGAGGTAATTACAGCGTGGACCCTCCGGGGTATACTTTCCACAAGTCTTTGTATGACAACTAGTGGTATTTCCTTCCACTCGGCTTGGAGAAGACATAGAAGTTCCTTCACCGATTTTGCACTGGTAGTGCACCCCTGAATTCGGCGATGCAACTCGTCCCAGAGGTTCTCGATAGGGTTCAGGTCTGGACTCTGGGCAGGCCAGTCCATTCGATGAACTCCATTGGCACCATACCAAGCCTTGGTTAACGTCGAAACATGACAACTGGCATTGTCGCCCTGAAAGTAACAGGGGTCCAACCCGTAAAACTGCCACAACGTAGGAAGCACATTGTCATCCAAAATAGTGCAGTAGGCATCGGAGTTGAGCTTACCATGAATGGAAACCAAGGGTCCCAGCCCATACCAGGAGAAACACCCCCAGACCATAATTCCACCTCCGCCGAACTTGACTGTTGGCACAATGCATTCTGGCAGGAGACGTTCTCCAGGTAGACGCTAGACCCAGACCCTGCCATCCGAAAGTTAAAGGGTGAACCTTGATTCGTCACTCTAAAGAGCCCGTTTCCACTGATCTACGATCCAATTTCGATGTGCTATGCACACATTAACCGAGCAGCACGGTTGGACTTTGTGATCAAAGGCTTATGGGCAGCAGCACGACCATGAAAACCAAGCAGATGTGCTTCCTTACCGATTGTATTCATTGAAACAATACTCCCGGATGCCTGTTGAAACTCCTTGCGGATGAGGGCTGTCGGTTGGGTGCGGTTCTTCCGAATTTCTCTGAACAGCACTCGTCGGTCTCTGTCGCCCAGTTTCGTTGGTCTGCCGACTCGAGGCACATTCCGACAATTACCGCTCACCTTCCACTTCTTAATCACATAGGCCACTGTCGATATTGGGTATTTCAGATCGCTAGATATGTCCCTTAAGGATCGGCCACATTTGTGATACCCGATAATTATACCTTTCTCGAAATCAGAGAGCTCCGAAAGGCGAGGCATCTTGCATGCGACCAAAGCCGATGCTGTTTCCTACACGATATATACCGGCGGAGTCCGTGGCGTACCTTCGGACCGCAGATATCGTCATTTGCATAGGTGTCCAAATACTTATTGGTAGTCAGTGTAGTATCCAAATTTGAAAATTCGTCCTGGAATTTAGACCATGAAGTAGATCTTGCATGAAAATAGAACATGTTCTTTTATGAAAGCATTTAGGGGTCAGTTTTAATATTATCTAACGATTTAATTGAAATATACGTCTTGATTAATATAAAAAAGGTATTAACATATAAATGAAATTTATTAATGAATTAATTGAAATCGTTTTATGTAAGTAATTATTCATGAAATGCGGGGGTGAGGCTCCTCTCCTTAATTGTCTTAGAGGGACGCTGAACGAGACAAATAGTTTCATTTAAATCAGGTTTGGGCAATGTCAGATTAAAATATATATATATATATATATATATATATATATTCGACAAATAACGAAATCTAACTTCTAATGCAATCGCCCTGTTCCTATACTTAAAAATTTGAGAAAGTTGTATACTCATTAGGAGGAAAAAAAAATTAAAAAATAAAAAATAAAATTAATAAAAGACGTTTGACTCCCGTACGACAAAAACTGACCGGGATATTTAATTTTTAAAATTTGCAGTTTTTTTATATCATTTTCAACTTGCCATGATCGGTTATTTAAATCAGAATAATTCAAGGAAATAGGTTTAAATGAATTGCAACAAAAATGTGTATAATTTAATAAGCCATATAACAAAGTCACATGGTACTACATCAAATTTTTTAAAATATATTGCAATTTATTCATTTAATATTAGTTATCATAAGCGAACTTAAAATTTATTCTTGAAATGTTCAACACATATTTTTTTAAAAAGAAAATGTTAAGAGTTTTGAAAAAAAAAAAGTAGGAAAATTTCTCTGTACGTTTTCTTTTCCACCTCCTCCTGTGCTGTTGTTTTTATTCATAAAGCATGCTGTTATGGGAATGAAATGAAGTTATTAAAATTATTCTTGTAATGAACTGTCTTAGAATACTTTTACAGTCAGAAGTTTAAAAATGCAAAACTACAAACGCAGTACACAACATTTTACAGTATTTAATTAAATTATTCAATTATATTCATTCATTCATTCTTAAAAAAAAAAAAAAAAAAAAAAAAGAGAGAGAGAGAGAGAGAGAGAGAAGAAGAAGAAGAAGAAGAAAGAAAATATATGAAATCTGATATCATTTGCAAAGAATGATTTAAACAAAAATCAAGTAATATTCTTTGTTCTTTTGCGTAATGGTATTTCAAACTGTTCGAGGCAAACTAGATATTTAACTCTTAGAAAACCGAAGGCTTCGTTAAGCTGAATACTTAAAATACCGAAACGCCCGTTCCCGTCCATTACTCGTCCTGTCTGTTTCCTCCCTTCCTCGTGCATTAATGCACAAAGAGGTGCGAAGATTTCAAATGACATCCTTTCTACTTCCCAGCAAAGAAGCTTCCATTAGCCTTTTAGGACAAGCTGCATGCAATAAACTGATACAATGTATTTGGAGAAACTCCACGTGCTACTGCATACCATAGGGAAGGGAAGAAAGCAACGTCGCAGTCTCGGTCGTTTCGAGCACTTGTAGTCGTTTGAATGAAAGGCTGTCTCAGGCGTTTTGGCCTTCAAACAGTTAAAAATACATACTAGATCATTCATTTCCTTGCGCAAATCTAAAATCATTGCTACGCTGTGTGTCAATGTATTCCGTAAGTTCTGGTAACTGAACTGTTTTGTAAATGTCTGAATCTGGTGATATGTTTTCTATAATAACATTTATTTTTGCTCTTTTAGGTGTATCCCTTGCAGGGTCCCACAGAGGGTGGAACACTGATCACCATAGTTGGCGACAATTTCGGAACTTCTCATAGTGGAGAATTAAGTTCTCAAATTTCTGTCAACGTCGCTGGATTTCCTTGCGAGATACATTTGTGGGAGAAAGAAAAGTAAGTGCGAATATTGAGGGAGGAAGCCGTTGTATATGACATAAGTGTTTTTCAGAGCATAATGTAGTTTTCACAAACTCATCTTCAGAAAGATGTTTCCTGTATTCTCCGATATTGTCCGTTTTCTACGGAGATTTGCTTTCTTCCATTACTTTCATACATGTAAGTTCATTTTTTGATGAGTCGTACGTATTTTAATTTTCAAGTCCTTACATGTTAATTTCTTCTTGTATATTTATTTGTGTTTTGTAGTGCACTGTTATACAGTGTTGTAAATAATTCAAAAAGCGGAGAAGTAAAGCGCGTTTAGGAAGCACAAGGCCTGCTGGTGTCTTCCACTCAAAAGCTAAAGATTATCACGGATGGTTATGTTGATGCTCTCACTGAGCAACAATTGTACAAGATTGAGCGCCAGTTACGTCTGAGGCAGGGCTGAACTAACCATTAAGCAATATGAACACGCGCTTAGGACATCAAAGAAAGAGGGCACCACAAAAGGGTCCTTGGGTATTCAGGAATGAGGGTACCAAAAAAATTTCTCTTGTGTACCACCGGTTGAGAACTCCTGCTCTATTGGCACTGCAAGAGCTATCAATTTAAAAACTTCGTACTGGAAGAGAAGGACAGAGAAACAGAGAATAATATTAATTGATTTGCATACTTTCTACGTTTATGAACATTTCACCAATCAATAAATCTACTTCATTTTGTAGCATTGGATGGTAGGAGGTCAGATGTGAATTATTTTATAATTCCTTGATGACTTGACGGTTGGACGACATTGACTAGCCTGATGGTTTACATTTCCATTGCTAAGAAACAGCATTCCTACCTTGAAATGACGTTTCATTGAGTAACTGAGTCTTATTACGTCGTTTATGATGACTAGCTTTCACTCTACTAATCACTAACCACCACCTAAAATTTAAATCTAATTAATATTTATGAATATTAAAATACTTACAAATTCATTCTTTGACCGCGTGTGTCATGAGGGCCTTGTTTTCAAGCTCATCAACCTTGGATTGCCTAGAGAATTAATTCTCCTGATTTATTCCTTTTTGCAACATCGCAATTTCTCCGTCTCAATAGGCAATGAAACCTCTACTCTTAGACCTATAAGATCTAGTGTCCCACAAGGAAGCATACTCAGACCGGTTCTTTACCTGCTTTATATCTCAGACTTTCTTCATCCTGGACTTGAAAACTACTCTCTTCTTGCATGCTACGCCGATGATACGGCGATAGCCATCAAGTCTATCAACGCTAATCATGCAATTGATAAAATGCAAGGTTTTCTTTACACTGTAGAGGACTGGTGCATCAATTGGGGAGTTAAAATTAACGCCAGTAAGTCTCAGCTTTCAATCCTTTCTCATCCTTCGCAAAAACAAAAAAACGCATTAAGTTTAAAGAACTTTTCCTTTTTCAAGGGCCTGTTCCCTTAGTTACAAAAGCCAAATACCTAGGAGTAATTCTTAACCATAATCTCATTTGGACCAATCATATTAAGAATATTAAAAATAAAGCAATTGGAATTATGTGTAGATTTCTTCCAGCAATTGGAAAATTTTCTTATCTTAGCCTAAGAACCAAGAGACATATTTATACTACTTGACCTATTCTTTGTTATGCATATCCAGCTTGGATTACTGCCTCTCCTAATCAATTACATCAACTTCAAATAGTGCAGAATAAATTTCTTCGTATTATCATTGATGCTGACTTTCTCATCCGAAATGAACTTCTTCATAGAGATCTTAAGCTTGAAACCATCACAGAATTTATTAAAAGAACCAAATGAGAAATTCTTCTCTAAAGCTGTCCAATACGACTATGCGAACTATTCCCAAGTCTTCAACTACGAAATACTCAATGAAGACCGCAACATAAAACCACTTGCTGCTCACACCTTCATGGGATGAGACTTCTGCTTATTCTCTTGCTCCTCAATTGCAGGCGGTAATTTCTTTCATTTTATCTGATAAAGACAGTTCTGTACTCTAAGTTATTTGGATTGCTAGTGTGATGTTGTAACAGTCGTTGTGTATTGATTTTCTGTTGTGTGGGTTGAATTTGTGTAGTTTTATAGTAGTATTGAACTTTTGTTGTTGTTGTATAGCATTTTGAACCATGTTTTGCATTTGTCGTTTCTCTGAATTGTGAAGGATCCGTTCGGATTTTCTTCATCTTGTCAAGTTCCGTTCACCTGCTAGATTCCTTTGACCTTTTTCCTTTTGGTACCCCTCTTACTTTTCCTTTTTCCGTTTTCTCATCCGAGATGTTTTCCATTACCTGGATTCATTATGTTATGTGCCCTTGGGCTTAATTTAAAGAACCGGCAACGTTACACCTGCAATAGCTCTTTAATATAGAACTGTCTAAGTCTACAAATTCATGAACTATTTTATAGATAGGACGTTTACTCGATTCCTGATACGCGTTTGTACCTCGTTTGCATCCTCTGCATTTGCATATTCTGTGCTTTAATGGTGGCTCAGTTACATGTTTTCAGTTTACTAGCTTCAAATTAGTATGTACACTTATTTTCATAAGAATTTTGATTGGTATAATTTGTGTGTTAAATTGGATTTTCAATATTATTCAATTCCCCCCCCCCAAAAAAAAAGAACGTGTGAGTATAGCAAATTCATTCTAAGAGAAAACTTTTTTATAATAGGGTTCAGTGCAGAACTTCGCCGGTTCCAGATATAACTTCAGGTCCAATAAAGATCAACGCGACTGATATATCGTGGTCTTCCGGAACCTATGACATGAAAGGAGTTGCTTACAGTGCTCTAAATTTTAATTATGTTGTGAGTAAAAGATTTCTTTTCATATTTCTTTAAGCATTCACATTGTTGTTAATTGCATTGTATTTATTTCATGTTATTTTCATCACTTATATTAAATATTCTAGTTTTTAAAAGGCATAATGTAGATGGCAACATGGTCGTAACAAACATCAAGGAATGACAGAATTTCCTACATACAATAAGCCTTCGTTTAAAATGGATATGATTATTAATGTACTAAAAGAAAAAAAAATAATTTGTCATATAGTTTAATGGGAATAATAGATTAAATAATTCAGTTTACAGAATTCATCTGCAATTTTATATCGCGAATAATAAAAGAGTGGGGCTCCTAAGTCACGAAATCTATTAATTTAATTGCATTCTCAAATGCATTAGCCATTATCTTTTACATGTAGCATTTTTACGTTATTTCTTCTCAATCAATCTGTATTAAATGGTAATCTATCTTTATTTGCCTTCGCCGTTAATCACCTTAATCATGGTATTTTACTTAATATACCCTATCGCCTGTGATCTTTCTGAGCACACCTTTATACGATTTCGAGTGAAAAAATAAATGACTTTCGTTTCAAGTTAGCGGTAAATTTGACTTACGAAAATGTGTAAGCTAGCGAAATTATCAATTTCATTCAAATTGGATGTACACTCGTGGACAACATTAAGAGAATTTGCAAATTATATCTATTTTTTCGATCTAAAACAGTTAAAAAGATTGATTTTATGATATAAGTATTAAACCAAAGGTATGCTGTCGAAGAATCATGCAAAGGATGAGCTTCGAATACGTAAGCGTACACGTACGTGTCTGCGGAGTTGTGAATGTAGAGGAGATATAAGAGCATGAGAGATTTTCGGCGATTTGTCTGCTGTGCTGTTTCTCCGCGTACGCCGTGTTTCTCGCAAGAGTTGGGTAAGTTTTATAAGATATCAGGTAAAATGAGTAGGCACGAACGTACTGATGGTGGAATGAGATGAAGATTATCGGTAGATTGGAGGCAGGCCAATCACATGCGCAGCTGGCTACAGAGCTAAATGAAACGTTTAGTATCGTCTGCAGTTTGCGGAAACAGTTTCAGGACACTGTATCCATACCGAGAAAACCTGGACAAGGTCCAAAACGATAATGAGGATAGTTTTTCTGGTACTTTTAGCGCGGCGACACAGAACTGCCACAGATTCACAGCTGTGAGTTGTATGCTCCCACTGCAACCCGAGTTTCACGGTGTACAGTTGCCCGAAGGCTTCACGATATAGGGCTGTATGCCAGTAGATCCGCTGTTTGCGTCCCATTTACTGCAGCACACAAGATTTAGTATGGTGTAGACAATATGCGCATCGGACTAGACTAGTGGTGCGCAGTGCTTTTTACAGATGAACCGGGATTCAGCCTGGACACTGATTCTTGGCGTACCTGCATCTGAAAAGAGAGTGTAGATCATGATACTATCCCTCCCTAATCAGGGAAAATGATGATTACGACGGTGTAGATGTAATGCTTCGGTTAGGCATTATGTTAAACGGTTGTGCACACCTGCATGTGTTTGACGAAGGCTCTCTGAGTGTTATCGGGTATAGAGAGGTGTTAAAGCCTTATGTTTGACTTTTCAGGGGCGCAGCTGGTCCTGGGTTTTAACGACAACGCTCTTTCACATAGGAATCAGCTGGTGGACGATTGCACATTTCGTTACTACATTCAGTTTATTGAAGCATCGAATGATTACTATATATTCTAGTTTCAGAGAACTTGAAAAACTACAAATAATGTTCACATTTACAGTACTTTAAATAAGAGACGTAATTAAAAAGTTGACAGCTATTTAAGCTTTCAAGTGTTAAATTCTGCTTGTTAATACGATCAGCAATATTTGACTTAGTCTGCATGTAATTTTGACGTTAATGCTGATTTTCGATTTACTTAATTAAATTACATTATGTGCCTTTTCGTTTATATATGGTTGGATGTATGAGAGATAGCTGGATATATATATGTTTGTATGTGTAACAATCAATTACATCTCAGATTATGATGCCAGAAATTTGTTTTCCTCCTTCTTTTTAGAGCATTAATAGCTAATCTCTGACAAGGTCATCTTTTGCTTCTAAATCATGCAAGATTTACATACATCTCATGCTAGAGTATATCATGCAAGAGAGTATAAAATTAGTTTGTTTATTAAAATATAGTTAAATTTTACATTTTTTTGCTTGTCTTTAATTTTGTTACATCATCATTATCATCATCACCATCATTTCATTTACATCTAGTTGGATGAGGAGGCGTTGCATTTGTACTCTAATGGGTACGAAAAAGGAAAATATTTTCTTATTTAAGTTTCACATTTAAACGTAGGCAAGAATTATTAAAAATTTTAATCTTTGTATTTTGTTAAAATTTTTCTACTGTCTTGTTTTAATGTTTAATAAGAAATGTATAACTGTATTTGCTTTTTGACAATAAAATTTTATTTAAAATAGGTTCCATCCGTGCTTAAAATCTATCCAAACAAAGGACCCGTGTCCGGCGGTACAAACATCACGCTATTGGGTGAATATTTGAATGCTGGATCTGAATACAGTGTTATTGTCGCTGGAGCACGATGTTTGAACAAGAGGTAATATTACAGTGTTATTGTCGCTGGAGCACGATGTTTGAACAAGAGGTAATATTACAGTGTTATTGTCGCTGGAGCACGATGTTTGAACAAGAGGTAATATTACGTGCTTGAGCTTTTAACACCGCATTGGCTTAAAGTTTTTCAGTTGTAAATTGTACAGTCATAAATAGATTCCATCGGTGCACAAAATCTGTACAATAAGTATAGATCGTTTTTAAGTTGTACAATTACAAAACATTTTTAGTAACCTTTAGGTTGCATAATTATAAACTGTTGTGCAATTGCAAATTCATTAAATGTGTATATGGTATTTATTATATGTCGGATTTTTCTCCTTCCATATTCGTCTATTTTCATGAGTTATATATCCTTCAGAATAATGCAATCGTCCATTTTTCAGAATTATGTGATTATCATTGCATACATTTTTGCTCCAAAAACTTTATTTTTATTTGCATTTTTTCTAATTATTATTGTTTCAGGGTTCAAGGAAATATATCATGGTGCATCACTGACAACTTCAAAAATTCTCCGAAAAGTGAAAATGCTGTTTTGCCTTTTACTGGTGAAGTAAAAGTGCGTATCGACGATGCCAACGTCGAAATTACTGGTTTCTCAGAATTCGTGTATTTTCCCGATCCGGAAATATATTATTTTCATCCGCAGTCGACGACTGTGAGGTAAGCGATGCATTGTATCCTATTATGCTTTTTGAAATAAGACCAAACTTCCTATTTTCTGTCTGTTTTTCGCGTTACATGACGCAGTCTTACGATTTCACGGTATTCAAGACCAACAGGATTTGGCAAATTGCGAGCCTTGTTTTTCCTAGAGATTTACGAATTTTATAAACTGAATCCTGCGAAACCTTCATATCTCATGCCATGTAAAATAGTTAGATATTAGTGTATTTTATTATGGCAAAGCACTCAAGGGAGTGCTAGCTGTCTAAGGTAGAGGATGCCTTCATGGAGAACTTTCTAAGGGAAACTGGATCGTATACACGTTAGACAAGGAAAAACCACGAAAACGCCCAACGCTGTTTGCTCCTTTCGAGGATACGAAAAAGTGGGGTAGCAGCTGACCGATGGTATACATACCTTTCTATTGTTGCGAAACGCTAGGACACTTGTCTGTAGTTTTGTGACTGCATCTTTTATTGCCCACATCCAGGCGTATAAGTGTGGGAACTTTGTTATTCTGTGAAGTGAAGCAAGATGCATCTGGTACGAACATTTTGTTCCTCGGGATGAAGCTGTACGACGACGGAATGAGTGTGAGAGAAAATCTACCATCACACGATGTTTTTCTATCAAGAACTACTAGTAATTTTTCTTCATTTTTGTATGTAAGATTTTTTTACTCAATTATCTTAGGTTATTTATTTATTTATTGCATGACTCTTATTGTGCCAGAACTTGATAAAAAAATTAACATTAATTTAATTGTATGCTACACTTTTCCACGTTCATTATTGTGCTAAAAATGTCTAGAGTAATTGACAGTTAAATATTAAGAGTTCTAATAAACTCACCCCTTATTCCATAAAACTCGACAGTCTCTCAGTCCACATTATGTCCATTTTGCGGAATTCTACTGTTTTTAGAACGGAAAGGGGGAAGTGCCTAACTTAAAAAGAAGAATTATGGGGCTATTGCTAATTTAATGTGTAATTCATATTTATATATATTTTTTATCTTACATGCACATACTCTTTTCTTACATAAACATAAACATATCTTTCATTCTTTTATATCCATTTCTTTTAAATTTTAGTGGAACCACGAAATTAACTGTAACCGGCTTGCATTTGAATAGTGTTGAGAGACCCAAAATGGTTGTTATCGTTGCCTCGCCCTTAACGGGAGAAAAGCTTGAATTCCAGCAAGTATGTATGAATAATATTTGTTGAAAGTAAAATATGAAAAATTTATTTTAATGCATTAAAAATTTTCATCTCATAATTTTATTCTTTTACTTAAATAAGATTATCTTTTTACAACCAAATTTTTTATTCATTATGTATTTTTAAATATGGATAAATATTTCCACTGAATTTTCTTGATGCACTCAGTTATACAGCTATGCCCACGGTGTATTGCTGAGGTTCCAATATGTTGCATATCTTGGACATAAGAACTGCCATCGACCTGAAATGACGGACTTTTAAACTCAATTTCTATTTTTTAAATCTTCTAAAATCTGTGTCCCAGAGGCCATATTTTAGTTTTCGAAATTTCATCTTATCCTAAATACTACTCAAAAACTTTATAAAATCATCGTCACAATCAATCGCAATCATCGAAATTAATTTCTCGAAAGAAATCAACTCAGATCAATCTCAAATTGTTCTTTCATAGTAAGAAAAATTCTGCTCTCCAACGAAGCGGGATTTCCCCCTCCCCCCCAAAACAGCGCATGTATCATAATTTTATCAAAAAGGATTTTTTTGACCCGTAGCTTTCAAATGTTCAGTTTCGAAAATGTGGGGAAGGGGTGGAATACGGGAGAAAATATTGTACTTGTTGGAAAATGCTTTCGCTATACCAGTTGTAACTAAATTATACACTAATAAATCATAAAAGAATACCACTAATAACAGCATTTAAGCGAAAAAAATCAACTTCGAATTATTCTAATTTGTTTATCAATCGGCCCGTCAAGGCAAGTTGAAAATTACTTCAGGTATTCCAAATTTTGAAGTTAAATGCCTCGGTCAATTTTTATTGTACAAGAGTCAAACTATTTCTTTTTTTTTTTTTTTTTTTTTTTCCGTAATGAGTATGAAATTTTCGTAAGCATAAATTTAGGACCGTGTAAAAAGTTATATTTCGATAATGTTTTTAAATTTTTTTAAATTTAAAAGTACCAAAATGGGAATATTTATGTTATTTAAAAAACATTTCTGTAACTGTTAAGTGTGTGTTTACGACCACTGATTGTAGAAATTAAGGCAGGGAAAGGACTTACTTGCTATACATAAAAAGTAATGACATTGTTTATAGTATGCTAGTGAATCAGATATTTTATCGTATTACGGATTATCTGAAATATCTGCAGGAGTTAGATTACTGTGAAGTATTTTTTATGGCGGGGTATTATAATATTAATATTGTAATAGTAAACCAATGAAATTTTTTTTTTATAATAAATTCTTGCACAAGAGATTTTCATTGCTAACTTAATTTTTTTCCTTGTTATTTTTTAAAGCCTTGTTATCTAATGGAAAGTGTCCACAATGGAACTAAAATGGAATGTTGGACACCGCCATTAAGAAATTCAGGTTTCCATGCTCCAACTGAAAGAGCTCCGTTGGTAACCCACATTGCTTTTATAATGGATGGAGTGCAAAAAACCAGAGATTTTCCTATGCTAAACCAAACTCTGTCACAGCTTTTGTATTATCCGGATCCAGAATATGAACCGTTCGAGGGAACTGTGAAGAAAGTGGTTTACGATCATACACTTCTGGAAATAAAGGTGAGTGCTTTTGATTTCGAAACGAACATCCAAAATGGGAACTTTGGAACTCTTAAGATAAATGTGACAAAACCTTTTTTAGGAAACAAAGCTTAGAATGTATTTGGGGAAAAAAAAAAAAAAAAGTATAAGTTTGAAAGGATTTCAGATTTTAACGTCGCACTAGAGGTTTTATTAAAATTTTTTATGCTCGCAGTTTATCTATCTGTTCTTGGACGAACTAACGACGCAAAATTTACGCTCTTACGCCACAAATTCAACATCAAAGTCACGAATTTTTTCAAAACAGCTTATCTTTAGAATTCACATCCCAACACATTGTTAATATTTTGAAACCATACGTTTTTTTTAACACAGAAGCCATACATTTTTCTAACCAAATAAGCATACATTCTTAGCCCATTATGCTTGAACCTCATTTTCATTATCCTCATCACTTTTCAAATAACTAGCTGCTGCCGTTAAAAATAGTTAGTATAAAAAATGAAAAATATATAATACTTTTATTAAATCCAGCTACAGGTCCAGCTGATAATTAATAAGATAAGAGATAAAACTGCGCTTATTGTTTTAAATTTGCTCACTTTATTAATTAATAACAAACAGATTAAATTTAAAAAAAACTTAAATATCTTGCTGGTGCACTTGGAAGTAAAGATATTTTTTGTCGGGTATCTTTCGAATTCCCGATGCTAAGTGTTAAATGTTGAAATAAATTTGATTTCTATTTGCAATATTATTTCTTTAAAAATAATATATAACGTTTACGCGATAACGTTTACTGGCAACATCCTTTTATTTATGTTGCCGTATTTTTTTTTCTATTTGCTGTGTTATTTCTTAATATGAAAATGCAACATTTGATGGCAACATCTCATAAGAGACACAGATATGAAAGTTAGATTTGAGATTAATGGCACTGCTGGTGTTAACAATACTTGAACTGAAAATGTGCAGATAAATTTTGCGATAACGTAGATGTGGAAATATCAGATGATGAAGAAATTCAGGAATACGTTATCGAGAAGTTTGAATTTGCTTCGGCTCTTGAAGTCATAGCATTTAAAGAGAAAGCGATAAGCTCTGTTTTCAGTTTTGAGTCTTGAAAAATTTCTTAGAATTTTCTTTCTTCTTAGTTACGCCTGAATGTTGGATATATTTCATTACCTTTTCAAATCGTGCAGAAATCTTATTTCAGAGAAATTCTGCTTCAAATTGTGTATTGAGGCAGGATGATATCTATCACAATTAAGGCGTATTGGAAAGTCCAAAGCACCAATGCAACCTGATTCTGACAGCAAAACCTCGTAAAACTTATTGTCAAGCGGTGCACAAATCATTATCGTGTATGTAGGTAAACATATCGTATCAAGATAAATAACGGGACGTTGGAAACAACTTCTATTAATTGCATAGATAATAATGTTTATGAAAATTATCAGTTAAGTATTGTAGTGTTTTCCTTATTTTGCATAACAAATTTATTTTAAGTTTGATACCTGTTCTCAACTTCCCCTCACATTCTCTCGCCAGGATGTAAATTTAAAGTTAAGTGAAGTGCTATTTAAACGTGTTAATATGTCAGTTTCTTCAGAGCGTGTTTCGCTAGCCAAGCGCACGTTTCGTTGTTATTTAGCGGTCACTTGGCCTTATCAGATTAGTATCACGCCGGCTAGATTCCTATGAGTCCACCTCTTAGGCGTAAACTTAAATGTGCTCTTGCACTATTTATTTCAGGTTTGACTTGTATTATATTCTATGTTTTAGTTTCCACTGCAAGTGGACGGTGTCCTTGTAACGCACGAAGTTCGTGCCTTTCTGTTAACTAGTTGAATTAATAAAGGGTTAGGCCCACCAGCGGCCGAGCGGTAAGGTCGCTGAACACTGGTAGTTCGGTCCGAGGTTCGAATCCCGCGAACGGGCTGGCTGCATGGGTGTTTTCGTGGTTTTCCCCATGTGTAACGTGTATACGAGTCAGTTTCCCTTAGAAAGTCCTCCACAAAGGCATCCCTCCCCTTAGGCAGATAGCCCTAGTGAGCTTTGACATAATTAAATACACACACACATCTATAATAAAGGGTTATTTTTACCCTTCGTTTGAGTGAGTAGTCAGATTTGGCGAATTCTCGCACAAGCGTGAATAAATCATTATAGGGTCTGTTCTAGTTTATGTGGAACAAGAGAGACAGACTCTATAGTATAATAGTATAAATTATATGAATTACAAGCATTATAAATCAGGCCAATTAAAGATGTAATTAAAAAAATAAAGATATATATTATAAAAATTTACAAACATTGCTTTTAAAATCGCTCTGTTCGTAGAATATTACAAGTTTCGAGGATAACTTAAGATCTTGTGTCTTATAGAATGGTTACACCGCTGAGAATTGGCAATTAACTAGATACTGAGAGTGATAAATGCTTTAGTTACATAATAGAATGTAACAGGCACGAAAAGTGTAAAGACTAAGCTATAGAAAACGTTTCTGATGTGAAATAATCACATCACGAGCCATAATCGTTGCGATAATTCTTTATTCCACAGCTTTTGGCAGCATAGATTTTTCTCTGTTCCGTTATAAATTAGATTCTCTCGCCGAGTGCCGTTTCAACCGATTTCCATTTTAACTAGGGATATTTTTTGACAATTTTTTTCGGTGAATTAAAATATCGTCGCCATTTTTATGAAAATGAAGTATATTGTATGTGGAGACAATATATTACTTCTTCCAAAGAAGGAAATAAAGTGAGAGGCTTGCTAATCGTAGATTTAAAACTATTGAGCTTGCGATTCATGTGGTAATTCAGTCACTAATGACTCAATCACAAGCTGCGTGCTAATCGGAGAACTGGCTTGCGACTGCACTCATCTGCATAACCTGTACGAATGCACTCCTACAGATATTTGCACGATAAATGCATTTGCTCTTTCTGTCGTGGTGTGTATGCATGCTTTTATAAATTTACTTGTATTCTATAAATGCTATTTTGGATTAACCGGCCATTTCTTTATCCGACTTAAGATCCAATGACATAGAAACCAAATTAGGAAGTTTATGTAGGTAACGTAAGTATCAGCCAATTAACTAGAAATGCGCCTTATTCCACAGTTCGGTGGGAGGTGTTTCCAGATGGAAACTGTCCAAGAAAGGCTGTATAAAATATTTTACCACTACAATAGTTACATTTTTCCTCTACGTAACTGGTAATGAAATAGAAAAGCTAAAAAAAATATAGTGAAAATTTGGTTCACACGTGGGAATTTTTTTAGAGGCGGTCTTTACAAACTAAGTATACAACGGAAATGAGCAAATATAGCTTTACTGTTCTAAATTTTGTGTTTATATAAATATTTAAATATAAAAGCTTTAATTTTGTTGTTTATTTCTAGTTTTTTTCACTGGGAAATGAATGATTATTTATAAATGTAATGAAAATATTCGTAGAAGAATCTTTGAAAATGAGAAGCCCACCTAGTAAAGTGTTCACTGAATTCTAGGGGGTTTGCTAATTCTCTTTCTTCGAAGCCTTTGCTATTACGTAAAAAATATATTCCACTCATATAACTCTTTATTAATATCATCATCTGAATTGTAAGGTAATCTTATTTCGTTTCACTTCAGTAACTTTCTAGGCTATAATTTCTTATTGAATGAAACTTTGTCTTCCAATGAGACGCAGACAATTGTATGTTAATTAGCTGTATTAGATACAGTTTTACATAAAGAAATAATTGTATTACAGAGATTATTTACTTAAGTTTTAATTGTTTTCGGTGTATTTATAATCATTAATTGTAATTTTTTCCAAATATAAACGATTTCATTATAATACATCTTTCTTTTTGTTTTAGGGTAAATATTTGAATTTGGCTCATTCACCTACTGACATAAAAGTCTATATAGATGGCAATAAGACATGTAATGTTTCCAGTATATCAGCAGAAAATCTGTATTGTATTATACCACCACCTAATGTCTTCTCACAAAGCAATGGATCTTTGTATTCTGTTGAGGTGAATATCTTATATTTTGAGTTACTTAGTTCTTTGAAGTGTGATTTCTTTTTATTTGCGTATCATCCATGTGTCATCTGAATTAAGTAATTGTTTGAAAGGTCCACCATCAAAAATACTTTTAACATCCTTGTACGAGGTAAAGGAAGTATTGTAATCGCGGAAAATTTGGGGTATCATATTTCAACGGAAATATCCATTTTCACCATTCCCGAATCCATTTCGACGATTTTATTTTGGTCTGTACGTGCGGGCAGAATAAATGACTCTTTTCTTCAAAACGGATGAATGGATTTAAAGATGCATTCAAAAGGTACTTTTTTCTTGACGTCTGTACGTATGTACCTTGTATAACTCGAAAACGATTAGCTGTAGAACGATACAATTTAGTATATGGTGGTGTATGTCGAAAACATCGCTGCAGATACATCGCTTTTTACGTCAGATACAACGTCGAGGAGAAAACAACGCAAGGAGAAAACCTCGTCGTACAAAACATCGTGGGGAAAAACAAAGCAAGGAGGAAACGTCGCATTTCTAAAATATCGTGATACAAAATGTCGTCATCGAAAGTAAAGCAGTTCAAAACCTTCGCATTTTAAAAACATCGTCGTCGAAAATATCGTGGTAAAAAATAAAGTACCTAACAAATCATCGCAGACATGCGTGTTTCAGGATTTAAAAGTTGTAAATGCATGTACGCATAATGTTTTGTGAGCTGAAGACTGAATCAAGAGTATTTTTACTTTTGTATTTCATATTTTCAATTAACTAATACATTTTTGTTGAAAAAGTAAGAAGGGTATTCAGAAACGAAAAATGAATAGAAAAATAACGCTAGGCATTGCTGTTAACAGAATTGTAACTAATATAGTTAACAAATAACGGTCATTAATTAATGAATCTCTTTTATTAAGTTTTATGGAAATTTTGTCATGCAAAATATAGTCTAAAAAGATTAGAAAAGGAAGATGAATAACTGCATTTGATTACTTAATTATCAAATTCTGTCAACTGCTATTAATAGCATTAGTTTTCTAGTCATTTTCAGTTTCTGATTGCTTTAGTTTTCTTCTTAATTTTTCAGCAAAAATTTGTTATTTAGTTCAAAAATATGAAAACCAAAATAATCCTCATTTCTTCTTGCGCTCACAAATCATTATGTAAATATGCATTTACAACTTTTAAAGCCTGAAAAACGCATGTCTGCGATGTAATCGTTATGCGATGATTTATAAGTTTTTATTATTTACCACGATATTTTCGACGATGATGTTTTTAAACTGCGAAGTTTTTTGAGCCACTTTATTTTCGACAACGATGTTTCTACTACGACGTTTTAGAACTGCTATTGTTTTCTCCTTTTTTTTTTTTTTTTTTTTGTATTTTTCCATGATGTTTTCGTCCACAATGTTTTTGGCGCGATGTTTTCTTCTATAACCGGGACTATTATAATATCTACCTGTGCACTTCCCTTTTTTATTGCAGTCGGCAGTACCCAAAACGGCGAGTATATATACTCACCTCCTTACCCCGGCTTAAAAATCCTTACCCGAGCTTTTATTTTTCACAATCGTTGGTCATAGTCATATACTTCCAGTTACAGAAGCGTTTTAAATGACGAAAATAGTCATGTTTTGTCAATTTTAAATAAAAAAAAAATTGGACAAATAGCGAAAACTAACTTTTAATTGAGGTCCCCTATAGTTCCTATACTTATATTTGGAAAAGCTACTCGTTATGAAAAAATAAAAATCGTATATTTTTATTGACTTTCATAGGACGAAAATGACTGGGATATTTAATTTCAGAATTTACCATTTTTGACGTCATTTTCAACTTGCCTTGAGGAGCCAGTTAGAATAATTCGAGGAAATAAGTTTAAATGAAGTGAATTACAAAGTGCGTATATAATTTAATAGGCCGTACAAGGAAGCCATGTAGTGTAGATATATTTTTTAAAATATGGTATCATAAATGAGGTAATTATCTGATTTGAAAATGCTGCATTGAGGTTTTTTTCCATAAACTTAAGTAATAGTAATGATATGTGCAAAATAATATTATAAATTTGTTGATGAAAATTTTTGTTATATATTATGATATTATTTTTTATTGGCTTGTTATTAAATTTATTTTAATCTACTGATCTTCAGAAAAATGAGATTTGTCTGAACACATATTCAGGTATTTAGAATAGGCTACGAATGTCCTGTAAGAATATGCCAAAATAAAATAATATCTTTGATTTTCTCCCACGTGTAGCCTTTTAAATCTCATGTTAGGCTAAGTGCTTCAAGTTTTTCCTTGCAAACTATTACAAACTATTAACCATTTCATCGTTACAAGTAGGCAATTGGACAAAAGCTGTATTGTGCAGTAAGTTCCATCTAATATCAAAATTTGGAATGTAAGGAAATTGAAAGGTTACAAGAAAAGTAGAGATTACAAAATTACAAAACAAATGTCGAAAAATATAATTCGACCTAATATCGCTGCGTGAAATGGGGAAAATTTCCATGGGCCTATTGTATTCATGCGTTTCAGATTATCGTAGTAATCACGAATAAAATTTCTTTATTCCTCAAAATTAACCGACTGGAAAAACTTCTGTATAACTTAACACAATTAAGTTCCAAACAGAACAGCAGAGTCGTGTATTTTATATATACCTGGATTACCTTAAATATTTTGATGCAAATTACTGAAATGATCACTACATATCGCAGATTCAAAGGTTACGATTTCTTTTTGTCGACTATATTCATGTTACCGAAAGAGAGTTTTATGGCTAAATTTCTAAAACTGGTGATAGTAATAGCAATAAATCTTTTCTCACATTGGCCGATTTATGCAGTCTCCATATACTACGGCCTAGTTTGTTATAAACTGGCTACAGCATTTCGAAACTTGGCCAGATCTATGAGACAAGAAGAGGGTGTTATTAATGAATGGATAATACGCTCTTATAATTCATTGAAAAAATCATCGGAGCGAGTTGACAATGAACTTTGTTTCAATGTTTTCTTAGTAGTGCTTTATAGCGCCTCTGCGATGTTTTTTCAAATATCACCTAAAGTGTACCAACACATAGAATGGACTATTCTATTTTCGGTGCAATTTATAGAAAGTATTTTATGTTTTCTTATAATAACCATTTCTGGATCCTATGTTTACGAAGCCTCTCTCGATGTCCGTTCTGCAGCGCAGGAACTTCTTCAAGATAGCACATGGCCTTGTGGAGCGATGCAAAAATTTCGGGCATGCATTGAATGTGATATTGCACTAACGGTGTGGAAAATAGTTCTGATTAAAAGGAGTCTCATTCTGGCTGCTATGGGAACAATGTTTACATACGCTGTGCTAATTTACAGTTTCCCATCCTAGGAGGTATAAATTTCGGCAAAAATCTTTGCTTAATAAGAGCATGAAAACTCACAAAACTTAGTCGTTACACTGAACTACCAGCACTGCTGAGACTTAGTGCTCTGCCCTGCTTTAATGTTTCCAGGAAAATATTCCACTTTCTGCACGTAGTCCTCCAATTCTTGGATTCTCGATTTGGATGTGCTTAGTGTCGGTCCATATTAGCACGACTGGTTTTGCGGAAGGGAAATAGAAATGTTTTCAGCCAAATGATTGTACTTATACACGCTGGTCCAAGATAAAACGAAATGGACATGACGGAGATGAAACCGAAAAGCGTTAGTATATTCGAAGACACGACAACACACGCCTGCTTGGATGCAAGGCACTCAATTTTCACACCTGACACGACTGTCTCGAAGAATGCGGTTACCTTCTATTGCTGCCTAATGTAGCTGGTTGTTATTTTTACTTCCATTGCAATCTGAAGGACAAGGATTATCGAAACAATCCACGGACACTTGACGCACTGGAACTGAAAATATACACTGCCATCACTATCATCCAACCAGACGAGTTACAACAAGTCACACAAAATGATATTTATCGGAACAAACTATGCCTGAGTCGTGACGATCAGAATTTGCATCAGTATCTATAGAGACACAGGAACTCAGTAAATAGGCTTTTGTCTTTTTGTATATCACCTCTTAAGGTACTTTTTCCATCCTTTCTGCTTGACACCTTCGTCGTGCAGGCTTTCTGCATACCTTCGTTTAACACGTATTCGAATTCCAGAAAGGACATTGCACATTTTTCTCGTCTCCAGAATCATAAAACCTAATGACTCTACAGTGGCGTTCGAACTAAAAAGTGATGAACGATAATGTCCCAACCACCAAGGGATGAGTGTACCCAGCCACCATGATTTCGCAATTGGGGACCCTTATCACCAGTCACCTTTTAAAGGCGGTAATATATAAGGTATTTTCCCTTCTTTTCTGCAAGCCTTCTATGTATCTGGAAGCACATTCGACGCGTATTCTGAAGGTCTGAAGTTCGAATCCCGGGGAGGGCAATGCACATTTTTCTCGTCTTCAACTTCAGGAAAAAAAAACCTAATGACTCTACATTCTTAAAACTCATGTGTATTCTTCATTTGCTTTGGGTTCTGTCTATCTTCGGCCATCCTGCAGTAGCCGTGTTACGCAGAACTCTCTTACCCTTACATTCACCACAACTACCGTGGAGTACCATTGCAATTTTTCAGTAGTTTAAGTTCATCATTAGAAGAACAATTAGAATCGGTGCTCATTCTGGCTGATATGGGAACAATGTTTGCATATGTTATGCTGTTCTACAATTTCTAATCCCAGAAGGGCATGAGAATATATTACATCCTCAATCTCCGTTACTGACAAGAGTTAAAATGTTATTTTCCTCAATAATGACATTTAGAACAAAGTTCCGTTTACTATTTAAATTTTTACCTCATTTTTAATGCAAAATTTCATACATTTATATGATAATTATGTTACTGTGAAAGACCGAAATCTGGAGAATGTCAGCATTCATCGAGTCGCTTAATGGTTTATGTCCGAAATATTTGCTAAATATAATTTTTTCTCCGTTAC